AAAAATAGACCGTCTGAATTGGAGCTTAGACATCCAAAATGCGGCCCTGTCGCTCAGGGATCTGGGCCCCAATTTTTTTGCGAAAAGGGGTGGGCAGTATCCACTTGGACAGGGACACCAATAAAACTACTACCTATAGCCACTACTGTGATGCAGTCATGCAATGACTTTGGAAGGAGAAATTAGAAAGCCCAGGTGATATATAACGACAAACTTAATCTGATTGATATGGTCCGGTCCTTTGTATATATGAATAAAACATCAGACAAGATCCGAAAAGTCAACAGGAAAATCATCCTTATCATCGCCCCCCCAAGAAATAACATCTGAACCAGATTTGGATTGAACAAAAAGATGATTCAACCTGGGTACATTGACCGTAAAGGGTTTTCATTTGGAAGCTGAAGGCAAAGCAGCACTTTACACAACAAGTCCGTCTTATTCCTGCATGGTGCCTGGGGGTTCTGTTGCAAACACTGTACAATTTTAGCTCCAAGGTTACTGTTGTCCAACGGGGCATATCCAGTCCCACCAAACCACTTTCCAGCCTGTTCAGTCTGAGTCGCTGGAACTCGAACTGGAACCCGAACTGGAACCACTGTCACTGGACTGGAAGAGTTGTCGGATCAGGTTCCCTTCCTGGACGAGTGGCACTGACATAACATGACATAACATAACCCTTCATGTAAGCCGCCCTGTGACACTCAGTACCATTTGCTAATACAAATTGATTCGGGAGCAGCAGAAGACAAAGACACAAGTAGAAATCAGTGCTCCTTCGACAAATAACACCTGGTACCATGGATGGCGTCATTACTTCGTGTCAAACCTGCCCTGGGCCATGTCAGGAGTCATGAAATGACAATGGCTTCATCTAAAGACTAAAGATATCTATAATTTGTAAACATATACCTGCAGACGATGTGCCAAGTTCATCACTGGTCCAAAGAGTTGGGAATCTGAAAGTGCCCTTCCCGCTTCCCCGGCTGGCTCACGGATTACCACTAGCTTCCGCTTACAGATTCTCCACAGTAACATGTAATGAGTCAAACTAATGTTGAAAATGATAATGGCCTGATTGATTTTGATGTCGGAACCATATGGTGATGATGATGATGGTGATGATGATGATGATGGTGGTGATGATGATGATGATGATGCTGGTAATGATGATGATGATGATGATGATGATGATGATGATGGTTATGATTTTGATGATGATGATGATGAAGAAGAAGAAGAAATGTTAAGTCCACAACTCACATGATCCTAGGAAACATCACCGTTATCAATCGCGCGTCACCTGCAGGGTGTTACACGCACATGAATTCAGATCGTCAAAAAGTTTTTACTCCTTGTGGTCCCGGCTCCTGATATCACGTGGACAGTAGACATGAATATGGCACAGTAACTAAATTAAACTATTAAATCGATTTCGAGATATCACATCATATGATGATCATTTCAATATCATATCAAGTTAAGTTAAGTGTGTATAGTTACATACCCAGTGCAGACATACCTAATACAATCCTAATACCGTATACCAAGATTAATATGTATCAATGCTCTGCTACAGCTACTCTTTCTGGTCCAACCTGCGGTCCAATAATCCATTGGTTCAAGTGCCTGACCCCCTAGAACCAGGTTAACCGGTTAACCTTGTAAAAGTACACATCAACAAAACACTTGAATGCGTTCACTTGAGTGTGACCCGTTTAAGTTAAGACATGTCATTTCACCATCACTGTCAGGAGTGGATGGTCCAATGTGCACCTGAAAGGCGGTCCTGCGCCTCCTGAATCTGCGTTTCATCATCCAGTATATCCAGTGTCGAATCCTGCCAACAAATTACATTTCGCTGTGGGGTCAAAAGCAGCATGGGAAGGCATTGCATGGAAGCTATAGAATCTACCGAAAATTGCGATCGGGTGGAACCTAAAGCCCATTGTAACTATAGCATCATAGCGTCAAAAAATGGCCCAATATGAATCAAACATGTTGACGGCTTACTTATGATGAATGCTTATTCCATAGCCTCTTCCGGGTGGGTGAATGCTACTTGTTGGACCCTCACTTCATGTTTCCTAGACTTCAATGATACGATGCGGATGTATACCTGAGTGACTTGCAGTTACAATTCAACAGCTGACTCACAAGATACCATGACCATCGCCGTGAATCCATCAGTTTTTGTGGTCCTCTGTCAAAATCCAAACACTGGACAAACATGACTGGTGCTGGTCAAATAATTTTGCTGCATCCGTAAATCATGTTTAGAATTTTTAGGGCACTCGTAAAGTTTAAGTCCTGGCTCAAACATGTTCAGACCAGAAAACCACTGCTCAATGTGGATGAACCAGAGGCAAGATCACAATATCCAATGTCTAAGGATTGGAATGGGCTCAAAAATGTCATGACACGATTGGCCACCCGTTCCAAGCCTTAACCTCTGAAAAACCCCGGAACTCACCAGAACCTTCCGTGACCTGGGGCGGCA